ACTCCTGTCCTTTCATTCTTATATAGTGCCCATTTTTATTCCCTAATAATGTTATAATTCACTTGGTATAAATGCAAACTATTGACCTAGCCTTTCACATTTTCTCCTTACCAGTATGTAAGGACGATCAGAAACAACTTACCTCTCTCCTCAGCACTATGTGGTGGTGTTCCCTGCAACACCAAGGGGGATCTCCTCAGCCACTACATCTGTGGGAGACAAAGAGAGCAGGAGGTCCTCAGCAGCCTTCCCTGCCAAGACAGCAGCAGCCCGCACATATGTCTCTGTTGTTCCTTGCTTTACTTCTGTGGTGATTTGTTCCCCTGCCTACCTGGTTTCATGTTTCATGAAAAAGGGAAAAGGGTAAGAACATTTTTCCCTGCTCTCCCTAAGAAACCTTAGGGGATTTCTCAACTCAAACCAATTTGTAAATCTCCTGGTCGGTATGCATGGGCTCTCAAGTGCCACTGCCTAGCAACATGTCAGAGCATCTTGAAAACCAAATGTTATAAAATTGGGATTCCCCCACATTGCTCTTTTGGAGAGAGTCCAGTCCCTCTAAGGTTGAAAGGGACAGTCTAGAAAGGGAGGCCACTGCACATAGCAAAGGTCCACTCAGGAGTCAGGAGTTTATAGGTAAATACCTAAAAAAAAAAAAATGAGGAAAGATGAAAGACCAAAAGAAAAAAAGTATTATAACTTTATTATAACATAACGCAGGGGCGTTATGTGGCTACAAGTAATCCCTCCCTTCCCAAAGAGCGGGAACTTTAAATCTTCTATACCAAGTAACTGTCAGGTCTAAGAAACATAATGTTAGTCCCCAGTTGCTTACTAATTTAAAAACAACAATGAAAAATAAATCCATAGATACAAAGGAGAAAATAAAAGGTAAAGTGAAGTTATATACATTTGTAACATTTAATATAGATGTATATATAAATTATAAAATGCACACAAAACTAAATTAAAACAAAGATCCATAGTTTGAACCAATTGAAAACCTAGTTTATAAAAGTTTATATGTTAAAAACTTATATAACAAGTTTTATATATAATTATATATATAACAAATATGTAACAAAATTTATATATTAAAAATTTACATATCAAAAAGAAAAGGCTTTTGAGCCTTCACAATGTAAGTTCTAAATTAAACATAATATTGCTAAAATATACTAATTGACAAGGCTTCATAAATTGTAATCAATACTAGGGCTCAAATGATAGTTATACTTGGGGACCCCACTAAATTTAAACATTATTTCTCCTGTAATCATAAAAAAATAATTGAGATAGAGGAAAATAGGTGTACCTCACTGCAATTGTAGTCGTGTCTAAATTTCCCATAGTTATTGTACCCATTGCCCTAAAATATCCCATCTTAAGCATAGATGCCCTGACAACGATGAAAAATAAATAAAGGTCTTTGGCTTTATTCCTTGATAAAATGTGATTCTGTGGACACTTAGTTAAAATAATTAATATGGCTCAATATGTGTTAAAACTGGCCTAAGTTTTAAAACTTATTATATAAACATAACAAAGAGGTGCTTATTTCTACGGCTTCTCCACTTAATAATTCAATTTTGCCTATTTCAAAACTTGAGAATAAATAAATAACTATATCTATCTTTTGGTTGTTAACTGAGTAAAGAGCAGTTAAGAGTTCCTGGACTGTGTGAATGGCACTGCTAGCCGCATGTGACGAACTGCTGGAATGTTACTGCTTTCCAGCTCTTCCTTTAAACAAAAACAAATGGATGAAAGTCAACCATTAAGACAAAACTGCAAAATTCCTAGAAGAAAGCATAGGAGGAAAGCTTCCTGACATTGGATTTGGCAATGGGTTCTTAGATTTGATACCAAAAGCAACTTGCAATCAAAGAAAAAATTGGTAAGTTGTAGTTTATCAAAATTAAGATCTTTTGTACTTCAGAGGTCAATCATCAGCATTTAAATACTTTTGTACTCCAAAGGACACATCAAGAAAGTGAAAACCCATGGAATGGGAGAAAATATTTGCAATTCATATATGCAAGAAGCAACTTCTATAAAGAATATATAAAGAATTCTTACTAAACAATAAAAAGACAAATAATCCAATTTTAAAATAGACAAGAGATTGGAAGAGACATTTCTCCAAGGACATAACAAATAGCAACAAATACATGAAAAGATACCACTAGTCATCAACATCACTGGTCAGTAGAAAAATGACCCAAATCACAAGGAGATACCACTTCTCACCACTTAGGACAGCTAATACGTGAAAACAAAAATTAACAAGTGACATTGGGAAATAGGAACTCATACACTGATGGATAGAATGTAAAATGGTGCAGCCACTTTGGAAAACAGTCTGGTAGTACTTCAAAACGTCAAATATATAGTTACTATATGACCCAGCAATTCCACTCCTAGGTAGATACCTATGGTAATTTTATGTGTCAACTAGACTGTGTCATGAAATACCCAGATATCTCATTAAATGTTATTTCTGCTGGTGTCTGTGAGCATGTTTCAGGAGATTCGCATTTGAATCAATAGACTGAGCATAGCATATCACCCTCCCCAACATGGGTGGACATCATCCAATCCGATTTAGGGTCTGAATGGATCAAAAAAGCAGATGATGACTGAATTCTCTTTTTCTGTCTGATTGTTGAACTGGGATAGTGATCTTCTCCTGCTCTTGGTGCTCCTGGTTTTCGGGCTTTGAAACAGGGACTGAAATCTACCCCGTTGGCAGCCTGGCTGTCAGGTGTTTGAATGGCACCCCCTACTTTCATAGGTCTCTCGATTGGGGTGGTAGACTGTGAGACTTTTCAGCCTTCATAGTTATATAAGTAGTTCCTTACATAAAAGTCATGTGTGCATATAATAAGTACATATAATGTATATTATGTCCATTGTATGTGTGTAGCTCACCATAAAAAGTTAAGGGCTGTGTGTTCTATTTTTCTGGAGAATTCTAATAACAATACCCAGGATAAATTAAAATATGTCTGCACACACACAAAAATATGTGAATGTTCAGAGCAGCATTACTCATAATACCCACAAAATGTTAACAACCCACATGTGAATCAACTGATAAATACGTAAATAACATGTGGTACGTCCATAGGATGGAATAGCAGTCAGCAATAAAAAAGAATGATATGCACTACAACACATATGAACCTTGAAAACATGCTAAGTGAAAAGAAGCTATTGGCAAAGGATCTTATGATTTCATTTACATGAAATGTCCAGAAAAGGCAAATCTATAGAGTCAGAAAGTACATTCATGGTTACCTACACATTAAGAGAGGAGGAAAATGGGATTATGACAGCCAAAGGGTTCTTTTGGAGTGACAAAGTTCTAAAATTGTGCTAGTTGTACAACTCTGGAATTTAAAAAAATTGAATGTTAAAGTTTCAAATGCACAAATTGTAGGTTATGTGAATTATAGCTCAATAAAGCTGTTCCAAAAAAACAAAAGAAAAAAAATCATGGTATAGCTGCATCATTAGAAGCATAAAAAAATTCTTGTCTCTGAAGTACCTAGAGCAGTAAGGTGCAACATATATTAGCTGCCATTATATTTTTACCACTAAATATTAGAACTTAAGATATTATAATTTTTAGAAGTATGATACGGGCATTAGTATTACTGGCACAGAAGAGTCTAGAAACGTATACTGGCATATATAGGAATTCATTTAATAAAGATGGAATTTCACATGACTGGGTCAAGAAAAGTTTACTGGTAAGTGGTACCACAACTGGCCATCTTTTCTGGAGGAAAGAAAATAATCGGATCTGGGGCGCCTGGGTGGCTCAGATGGTTAAGCGTCTGCCTTCGGCTCAGGTCATGATCCCAGGGTCCTGGGATCGAGCCTCACATCGGGCTCCTGGCTCAGCGGGGAGCCTGCTTCTCCCTCTCCCTCTGCCTCTCTCCCTGCTCATCCTCTCTCTCTCCCTCTCTGTATCTCTGTGTGTCAAATGAATAAATAAAATTTTAAAAAAATAATAATCGGATCCAATACCCCACACCACATGGCCAAATAAACTCCACAAGGATTAAAGATTTAAATGTCTTTAATAGGGGCACCTAGGTGGGTCAGTCAGTTAAACATCTGCCTTCAGCTCTGGTCATGATCCCAGGATCCTGGGATTGAACCCAGCACAGGCTCCCTGCTCAGTGGGGAGTCTGCTTCTCCCTCACCCTCTTGGCCTTCCCCCTGCTCCTTCTCTCTCTCTCTCGCTCACTCTCTCAAATAAATAAACGAAATCTTAAAAAAAAAAAAATAATGTCTTTAATAAATGTAAGAAACAAATTCGGTATACAGTTTGAAGATATTTAAAGGCAAGAAACAAGTTATTTTGGGGGTGCCTGGGTGGCTCAGTCAGACCGCTGCCTCAGGGTCCTGGGACTGAGCCCCATGTCAGGCTCCCTGCTCATTGGGGAGTCTGCTGCTCCCTCTGTGCTTCCCCCTGCTCATTCTCTCTCTCAAATAAAATTTTTAAGAATTACTTTTAAAAAACAGATTTTTTGGCTACATACATTTAGTATTTTGTACAGCAACACATAAAACAACCTAGCAAAAATAGTTATCAATAGATGCATAAGACACATGTGATAATGCACATGAACAATTCTTAATAAAATGTCTTATTAGAATCAGGGTTTAAACATCTTTATTAACTCCACAAAGGCCATCCACTGAAAACCCCAGCAACCACAGAGAACGTGATTACTGGAGAAACTTCAGATGTATTCCTGAGAAGTGAAGAATGCCCGGTATCAATGCTATTTCAAAAATAAATAAAAAGAGAATTACACATTAGAAGGGGGGCAATAGATTTGCAGAAAATGGCATTACATTGAAAATCCAAAGGAATCACTTATTGGAGTTTAGCATGGTGCCCAAATAAAGACCTAAAGAAGGGACTGACTGGAGGAGCTAGGCTTTAGGGACTGGCAAGAACGTCAGATAGGGGAGAATCCTTGTAAGGGGTCCAGGAACAAGGGGAGGGGCAGGCAGCTCTCCCGTGCCTGTCGTGGGGTCGGAGCCCACCCGCACACTCGCCCTTCCAGCTTACATATTCCGCAGTCCGAACAGACACTGGGTCTGTTCCCACCTGCAGCCACGCCCTCGGGAGTAGGCCCCGCCCACGGCGCTGGTTCTAACTTCCGCCAAGTCCCCGGGCCCCCTTCCGTCCCCGGCTCCCGCGCCTGGCCCAGCCCGACCCGCCCACGCCCACGCGGGAGAAAGCTAGAGCTTTCCCGCCTGATGTGGTCGGATCGGGCTGACGGCCGGAAAGCGGGGGCCCGCCCCTTCCGGCCTCAGGCAGGAAGCGGAAGTGGGGTCACGGAGGCGCCGGGCTCTTTTCCGCCGCTGGCCTGGTTTCGCTTTGGCTGTGGGTCCACGCAGGCCAACTTCTGGAGGTCAACGCGAGGGAGACGGAAGGACGAGGCTGTGCCGGGCCTCCCAGGAGCCTGCTTAAAGAGACCTGGCGCGTGGGGCGCCTGGCGGCTCAGTCGGTGGAGCGAGCCCCTCTTGATCCTGTGGTCGTGAGTTCAAGCCCTACCTTAGGTGTAGGGATGACTAAAAAAAAAATAAACTTTAAATAAGACAGAGAGCCGGCGCGCACCGCTGTCTTCCGCTGGGAGTGTCCTCGGGAGTAGCTGGACCGGGAAATGTAAGGGCGCTTCCGGGGGGTCGGTTCATAGACGGCTTCCCTCTTCAGTGGCCTGCAAAGCAACCTCTGTGACTTTTCTCCAGGGGGAAAAGCGCTTCCGCCGGCCGAGTTGGTAGATTCCGGCCGTGTCGTCGCGTCCTCACCGACCACGCGGTTCCGGCTCATGCCGGTGAGCACTGTGGGGGGGGGGGGGGGGGCTGGTTCCGACCGGCCTGTTTTCCTATTGGGTGCAAAGGAGTGTTTCACCTGACGGTTTGGCTTTATTTTTGCGCGTTCTTTACTTTTGACACATTACGTTCAAGTAGGAAGTTAATATACTTAGATGTCTATGGTGTGCGTATTTCTGCAGAGAAGTGGAAGCATATGTAGACCACAGGTCTTTTTAAAAAGAGGGACAAGGGGGCGCCTGGGTGGCTCAGTTGGTTAAGCGACTGCCTTCGGCTCGGGTCATGATCCTGGAGTCCCGGCATCGAGTCCCGCATCGGGCTCCCTGCTCGGCAGGGAGTCTGCTTCTCCCTCTGACCCTCCTCCCTCTCGTGCTCTCTGTCTCTCATTCTCTCTCTCAAATAAATAAAAATAAAATCTTTAAAAAAAAATAAAATAAAATAAAAAATAAAAAGAGGGACAAGAATACTCACCTGTCTCTTCATCTGAACTTCGTAAGACTACAGCCCCACAAAACTCTAAGCCACAGGCCTCTAACAAAAACAGATGGAGGCTTTTTTGTTCTAGTTCTGGAATAATTGAACTTCACAGTAACAGGATATTTAGACTAAATATATTTTTTCCTTTGAAAAATCTTAAACCTAAATAAAATATGAACATACAGTACTATGAATTTCCATTGAGGGGATTCAACCACTTCTAGCATTTTGCATGTTGGCCCTCTAGATAAATAAGTACATTTTTTGGTGAACGGTATGAGAGGGTAAGTTGAAAATAAATTGCAGGCAGGGTACTTGGCTTTTAAATACTTGGTGATGCATCTGCTAAAGATAAGGACATTGTGCTAATAAAACCACAATAGCATTATTTCCCCCCATGAAAATTTGAAATAATAATGTCCTCTATCCACTCTGACAAAACTGAAATCCTCCATATTGTTCCAAAATAAGCTTTTGGGTGTTTTTGGATCTAAGATGCAGTCGAAGATTATATATGGCAATTTTTTGTCTTTTAGTGTCTTAACCTACAGCATTGGCTATTGTTCTCCATTGTTTTTTTTGAAAAGTCACATGTTCTTTTAGAAAGTCACACATTTTGATAATTTCTTTTTTTTAATTGAGATATAACTGACATGACCTTATATTTCAGGTGTATAGCATAAAGATTCAATATTTGTTTATATTTGGAAATGATCACCACAGTAAGTCTTGTTAACATCCATTACCACACGTGGTTAGAACTTCTTTTCCTTGTGATGAGAACTTTTAAGCTCTTCTCTCTTACCAACTTTCAAATATGCAACGCATTGTTACTACAGTCTCTCATAGTAATGATAGTCATGTACCTAGGACTTATTTTATAATTGGCAGTTTGTCCTTTTTGACAATCTTCACCAGTTTCTCCACCCCACCCACACCTCTGACAACCACTTCTGCTGTGCAAAAGTTTTTTAGTTTGATGTAGTCCCACTTGTTTCTTTTTGCTTCTGTTGTTTATGCTTATGGTGTCAAATCCAAAAACTCCTTGCCAAGACCAGTGTGTCAGAGAGCTTACTACCTTTGTTTTCTTCTAGGAGTTTTATGGTTTATGGTTTTTTTTGTTTTTTTTTTTATGGTTTATGGTCTTAAATTCAAGTGTTTAGTCTCTTTTGAGGTAATTTTTGTGTATGGTTCATTTTCATTTTTTACCTGTGGCTGTCCAGTTTTCCCAACACCATTTCCTTTCCCCGTTGTATTTCTTTTCTCCTTTGTCATAAATTAATTGATCATATTTGCATGGGATTATTTCTGGGCCCTCTATTCTATTCCATTGGTCTATGTGTCTTTTTGTGCCCATACCATACTGTTTTGATTACTGTAGCTTTCTAGTATAGTTTAAAATCAGGCATCCAGGATGTGATGCATCCAGCTTTGTTCTTTCTCAAAATTGCTTTGGGTATTCAGAGTCTTTTATAGTTCCATACAAATTTTAGGATTGTTTGTGCTGTTCCTGTGAAAAATGCCACTGGACTTTTGATAGAGATTCCCTCTATACCCACTTTATTGAGAGTTTTTATCATAAGTGGGTATTGAATTTTGGTCAAATGCTTGTTCTGCGTACATTGACATGATCATGTGATTTTTATTCATTTTTTAATGTGGTTTATCATATTGATTCATTTGCAGATATGGAACCACCCTTGCCTCCCTGGATAAATCCCATTTGATTGTGGTGTTTGATCCCTTTAATGTGTTGTTTAATTTGGTTTTGCTAATATTTTAAAAGCATGCATTCAGTACCAAAAATTGAGATATTTTGCATTATTTTCTTCAAAGTTAAAAATTTATTGGACAGGGGCGCCTGGGTGGTTCAGTCGTTAAGCGTCTCAGGTCATGATCCCAGGGTCCTGGGATCGAGCCCCGCATCAGGCTCCCTGCTCAGCAGGAAGCCTGCTTCTCCCTCTCCCACTCCCCCTGCTTGTGTTCCCTCTCTCGCTGTGTCTCTCTCTGTCAGATAAATAAATAAAATCTTAAAAAAAAAATTTTTATTGGACACTAAATATTTATCAGATATACTTGATTTGTGTTTAGATCATTACAATTGAAAGAGTAGATTCATACTTAAAATCTTTAAAAAAAGAAAAAGATGGAAGGGTGCTTGGTTGGCTCAGTGGATTGAGCGAGTGATTCTTGATCTCAGGTTGTGAATTTGAGCCCCATGTTGGGTGTAGGATTACTTAAAAATAAAATCATTAAAAAAAAAAGTAGATTCAGATATACAAATTTTTCCACACACATATATGTGAGCTAAAAACTCCTAGTGAGACATCTGATACATAATGGTCCTCAGTTAATGGCAGTTGATATTAATAATCTTCTGTACACCATGTTTAAGCAGCTTTCATGCATGTCATCTGCACAGAAAAAGTAATTGATCCTGTTGAACCATTACTAATCAATATTTTTTATTAATTAATATGAACCCAACTCCAAATAACCTTATCTCCAGAGGGATGGAGATGGCCCTATCCACTTATATTCCTAAGCTGCTCTGAAATGATCTTGGTTTACACAGTACATCATTCAAGCAGATTTCACCCTTAGCTTTGCAGGATGATGGCCTGGGGTATGTCCCATGATAAGTCCTTGTTAATGCCCTTTTTCAGAGATTCTACCTTAGATTCTGCCTGCACAATATAGAGTCCTGAGGTCAGAGCCTGAGCAGTGCTTCTGGTTCATCTAAGAGGAGCTGGAGTGGGCCAGAGAATGCTCTTCTGTATGTCAGGTTCCTGATATGTGTACATGGGGTAGAGTTGCTGCATAATCTCATTCATTTTATTGCCTTCACAAAGGAAGAGTCCCATTACTCAAGGCCTAAGCGTATGTACCTGTGAAATGAAACCATGACTCTCCAGATCACATCTCTGTAGGTTTCCCTGATGGTGTAGTAAAGTCTCCTCCTCTTTGGTGAAGTCCACAGGCACATCATTGAAGATCACTAAGTTCTAAACTCACATATGTGCTGGCTTTAATTAAAGTAACATTTCCATCAGTCTTCACTGGGGAATGAAGATGGGAGACCCAGTGGCAATAGAGGGTTTCAAAGTCTCTCTTATTAATTTTCCCCAAGGCACAGTGTTCCTTGCATGAACCAGGCTTGGACAGATTCTCCACCCCCTTTTTTTTTTCAATTTTATTTGAGAGAGAGAGAGCGTGTGTGTGAGCACCAGCAAGGGGAGGGGCAGGGGGAGAAGCAGACTCCCCGCTGAGCAGGGAGCCTGATGCAGGTCTTGATCCCAGGACCGTGGGATCATGACCCGAGCTAAAGGCAAATGCCCAACTGACTGAGCCACCCAGGTGCCCCTGAATAAATCCTCCTTGAGGACAATTCTGTGACTTCAGCTCTTCTTGCGCACAGCAACCCCCAAATTATTTCCCCTTTGTTTAACCACCCCCTTCAGTATACCTTCAGGGCATAATGTCCTTGACCTGCCCTGGAGATATGACTATGGCACACATCCATTCTGAAACATTCTCCTCTTGTGTGGTACCCCAGCATGTATTCTCAGCCTCTAGGGCTATAATAACACATCTTAAGGGTCATGGGGTTGTGGAGACCTTTTTGTCTTGTGGCTGCCCATGGGACACTTCTGTCTGTGAGTCCTCTTAATAAACCATTTCTCATCAAAGTACACTTGTCCGCCTCCTTTGGTCTTACATCTCCTTTGGCCTTTGGAGTTTGTTTGCATATACCTTTCAGAAAACAGTCCTAAATATTATTCTCTCTGTTGGGAACTCACTCATGTTTGATATACTTCAGTCCTGGCTTTAATGAAACCTCTAAGGCATAAACTTAATACAAGTCTAAAAGCTCTTGTCCAATTTTCTTCTTGCAGCAAACTCCTGAGAAAAGAGACACCCGTAAGCACTGATGAATGTACAAACTGTTTGAGGAATGCACACTTTCAGTCTCATCATGTCAAAGCACCAAAATAACATGCAGTCACCATTATGAAATGCAAATACTGAGATTATTTGGTATTCTCTCATCATTCTGATAGATTCCACTTTGTGAGAAAATTCATCAGGGCTCAGAGTGGCTCTGTTCCTTTAGGAAGCTGTGGAAACAGGTCTACCTAGAAGGAAATGTATGTATCTGATGAATGTATTATGTCATTTTTGTTGAAGGACAAACTTTTTTCTTACCTGAGAAGAACCTGTTAAACACTCAGTCTTCATCTTTTTTGCTGCTGTCCTTGTTTCAAGAAAGAAGAACATGTCCTTAGAAGGAAAACCTAGTAGAAAAGAAGAATGAACACCAGAGATGACTATACTTGCCACATTCACCTGACTGGAATTCATTCCATTCTAGCTTGAAATTCCTGAATATTTCTCTGCATTCAAGTAAATCCACACAAACAGACACTGCTGCCATACAATGCCACCGTGGTCCTCTCTCATGCTGCCCTTCAAGAAGAGAATCATGGTGCTTAATTTCACAGAGTCCTTTTTTTCACCAACTCCTTAATATCATTACTAAATTGTTGACATAGCCAAACTCTTCAAATCTATTGTACTGTTTTTTGGCATGTTTAAGTTTGTAATAAATTCAAATGAACCTCACTGTTTTTAACTCCTTTAACCTACATTTATTTCTATAATTTCTTATATTTTTCTCTCTTACTTTCAAACAGGAAATACAGCATAAACCAAACATTCAGTAATTCGGCAGGATATTTTGGGAGATAAAACATCCAATAGGAGAGGAACAGTAAAATCACTAAGTTTATAAAGCAATATTTTTTATTTTCCACACTTGGAAAAGATTGAGATTTTCCTTAGATGGAACATTTGCCCAAGTGATAGATATTTGAGATAAGGGACATTTTCCAAAGACAAAACAATGTTTCTTGTGAGATATTCTCAGTGTGATGAATCTGGGGATATACTAAACCTACCTTGAAATTTGTCACTTCACAATTCCCACAAGTATTCATTCCCATATATATAAATGGATGTTGAATTTTTAAAAAATGCCATGAAACAAAAGGACTCCCTTTAGGATTATAGGAGGTGGCCCATCATGCTGGCAGAAGGAGTCCATCCAGCTGGAAAGAAATGAACAGGGCAGGAGGTGTATGAATGCACTGGAAATGATAAGAATCCTAATCAGCATGGTAATGCTATTTCTATTTTGAGATGGGTAGGATCAATTAATGAGTCTCAGAAATCTTTGAAGCATCATTCATGCATTCCCCGACAGGCAAGAAGCCATGTTGAATGGGAACTCTGTGTGTGCAACATGGAAAACACTTTGGTGAATGCTCATGCCTTTAGACACAGGAGAACTCAAAATGGAGGGAACACTTACAAGGATAAGGAATATGGAAAAAGCTCCCTTTCTCTGCAGAAGGAAACCTGTAATGGAGACAGACTTTCTGGGTTTAATCAATACAGAAAAACCCATCTACCTGACTCCAAATATTCTGTACTGGAAAACCAGCACCCAAGAAAAAGCCTTCACATGCGGTGACAGTGGGAAGACCTTCCATGATCAATCTTACTTCAAAGCACAAATGACAACTCATGATGGAGAAGAAAGTCTATGAAAGCAAGGAAGGTGAGACACCTGTTCTTCACGAGTGTGCATGAAGAAACTTGCACTGCTAACGGATTTATGAATGTGAGGAATGTGGTGAAAATATTCCATGTGTGCAAACTGTTAAGTATACATGTGAATTGACATGGGAGAAACCCTATAAATGTAAGGAAGTGGGAAAGCCTTTATTTCATCTTCCAATTTTAAGAGACATACAAGAGCGCCTGGGTGGCTCAGTTGGTTAAGCGACTGCCTTCGGCTCAGGTCATGATCCCGGAGTCCTGGGATCAAGTCCCACGTCCCCTCTCATGCTGCTTCTCTCTCGCGCTCTCTCTCTCTCAAATAAATTTAAAAAAAAGAGAGACATACAAAATCTGATACTGGAGAGAGTACCTTTGTATGTAAGGAATGTGGAAAGTTTTTAAAAATTCCTCATGTCTTAATCACATTTGAATTCACACTGGAATAAAGTAAGGAATGTGGGAAAACCTTCATTAGTTCTTTTTCTCTTGGTAAACAAAAAGAAGAAGAAGAAGGTAGCAGGAGGGGAAGAATGAAGCGGGGGAAATCGGAGGGGTAGACGAACCATGAGAGATGATGGACTCTGAAAAACAAACTGAGGGTTCTAGAGGGGAGGGGGTGGGAGGATGGGTTAGCCTGGTGGTGGGTATTGAGGAGGGCACATTCTGCATGGAGCACTGGGTGTTATGCACAATGAATCAGGGAACACTACATCTAAAACTAATGATGTATGGGGAATAACATAAGAATAAAAAAAAAAACCTATGGATATAAAGAATGTGGGAGGGCCTACAGTGCATCCTCAAGCTTTACTGAACATATAAAATCACACTCAGGAAAGAAGCTTTTTAAAGATTATTTATTTTAGGGTGAGGGAGGGACAGAGGGAGAGGAAGAGGGAAAATATCCCAAGCAGATTCCATGCTGAGCATGGAGCCCAAAACAGGACTTGATCTCAAGACCCATGAGCTCACAACCTGAGCTGAAACCAAGAGTCAGGCTCTCATCCAACTGAGCCACCCAGGTGCCCTGAGAAGCCTTTAAAATATAACAAATGTGGGAGACCTTTGCTACTTAAATCATACTCATCTTAGAATCACGCTGGAGAAAAATGTAATGTGTGGGGGAAGGCATTTGCCTGTTATTCATACTTTATCATTTACAGACATGCTCACACTAGAGAGAAGCCTTTCAATATAAGGAATGCATAAAAGCCTTTACTTTTTCCTCAAGACTAACTTAAACATGTTAAGAATTCACACAGGAGGGGTGCCTGGGTGGCTCAGTCATTAAGCGTCTGCCTTTGGCTCAGGTCATGATCCCAGGGTCCTGGGATCGAGCCCCACATCGGGCTCCCTGCTCTGCGGGAAGCCTGCTTCTCCCTCTCCCACTTCCCCTGCTTGTGTTCCCTCTCTCACTGTGTCTCTGTCAAATAAATAAATAAAAAATCTTAAAAAAAAAAAAAAGCATACAGGAAGGAAACCCTATAAATGACACATTTCTCAGTGATGTGCCTTTCAAAACAAATACATGCAAAGAAACCCAGAGTGTAAATACTTTAAGAAGGTCTTCCAATTATTCCAATTAATATTAGATAAATGAAAATTCACCTTTATAAATGTTAAAACTGTGGTACAACCTGCAGTTCTCCCCAGTTCCTTTAACTGTCATGAAAGCACTCACTCTGGAGAGAAATCCCATCAATGTAAGGAATGTGCTAAAAGCCTCAATACTCCCACTGACTTTGAAGATACGAAAGAAACAAACTGGAGGAATGGTCTCTATGTGTAGACTGTGGTAAAGACATCAATCTCCTGAAAACCCAGTATGCTAGCTCTCACAGTGAAGCCGTGCTATAAGAAACATCTAGAGCACTTGACTGTTTCCTCAGTGAAATACGTTCCTTAAATGTGGTAGATCCTGCAGTGCAGAGAATCTTCTATATGATATGTGGGAAAACTTCATCTCCTGAATTCCTCAATGTTCACTTGTAATCTCATTGTGTGGTATGCTCCATTGGTGTAAGATATTTGTTATTTTACATTAGATAATTGCTCATCCTTAATAAACACAAAGTGACTCACACTCAAGAGAAACTATGGAATGCTGGAAATTATACTGAGTCAGAATCTTAGGTTCTGCTGGGACGCCTGGGTGGCTCAGTTGTTTGGGCATCCGACTCTTGGTTTCAGCTCAGGTCATGATCTCATGGGTCTTGGGATTGAGCCCCACATCGGGCTCTGCACTCAGGAGGGAGTCTTCTTGGGGATTCTCTCCCTCTACCTTCCCCCAACCCAGCTCGTGCTCACTCTCTCTCAAATAAATCTTTTTAAAAACAAGGATCTTATGTCTGTTGACAGGCATTAGCCTTGTGGGTGGTTGTAAGATCTGTTTTAAACATTCATCATTGTGTCCCAACCTTTTCTGGGGGCATGATGTATCTTTGCCCTGATTGGCCTGGCCTGGCCAGTCTAGTTGCTGCACCTTCCACCTTGCAACCTGCCCAAAAGTGGGCCTACACGAGTCACACTTTATTGTCTTCTACCCACCTGGATTCTCTTACTGGATTGGCATGATCTTACATTTCAAGCATGGGGCCTGCATCACTGTTAAAGCTGTACATCGAGTCCATCTACACTGAATCACACTGGCCAGGGTAGGGGATGTAAAACGTGTCTGTCAGTTTTGGAAAGAAGACCTTGTGTCCCTTTCTCGAACCCAATCCTATCTCATGAAATCTCAGGATGAAGTATGGGATGAGTGGAGAAAAGGTGAGATTACAGCTAGGAACGTGAGGCAGCATGAGCACATGCCCTATGAACACCACCCTACTAACTGGGGAGGCCCTTCTACTCAAGTTCTGCAGCAAGAGGGTAAGAATAATGAATGTGCTCTTCCACCCCTACATCCAACACCACAGCCTGGCAAAACAACCCTACCATCTTCGTAGCTCAAGCAACAGGTGTCACAGTGATGGGGTCTGGCTCTGTGCTTGTCATTCCAACCATGTGCTGTGAAAACAGCCTCAGTGATACAAATTCATACAGCTCTGATGCCCAAGCTGCTTTGGGTTGGATTATGTCATGTGTGGCCATCAGAGTGCAGCTGCTTGATGACACTCTTTGAGGCTTAATGAAACCATTGTAATGATAATCCAAAGCAAGTTTCCCACATGTCTTACAACTTCAGAAGATATTATCTGTGCACCTTTTTCTCTTGCTCTCATTCACTTTTTTACCTGGGAAAAATGTAAATCCCTGATCACTCTTTCCCTGGGCCATTTGTTAGATGGGTCTTTGCAGTGTGGAATCTTGAGAGATGAGATCATCTCTCCCATAAGATAAAGAGCAGGCTCACTTACTACTTCAAATACACTAGGTTCTGCAAGCTTAGCATTCTTCTCCTTCAGCACCTGGGCCCTTTGGAACCCCTGAGAGACGGGGACAAAGGGAGCCAATTTACACATGCTGATGCTCATGCTACTGGCCATACCATGAGTCAGTTATGGCCTTTGTCTCTGATGTCAGTGTCTCAGCTCCTCTGCCAACATCCTTGAGATAGTGACAGGCTAACTTAACACCTTGAAAGGGAGTAATCAAATCACACGTTCAAGAATTTTGGTAATGGGAATGACATTATAATAGAGTCATGGTTTTCTGGGAGAGGGAAACAATGGTGGCCAGGCTGAGTATCTGCAGTGCAGTAATGAAATTTCTTCTACAAGAGGTTTCCTCATAATCTGAGCAAGAGGGGAATAAAGGCCCTGCCCTTCCTACTTCATGAAGTTGGTTAAGTACTATAGTTACATCAGCTTGTTTTTCCTTAATTTGTTAATCTCCCTGTACATACTGTATGTGGAGCTTATCTATTTGAAATATTTTCAAATCCTTTTCTTTCATTTGGAACATTAGCCCATAATATAATTACTAATACGGGTTTATGTCTAGCATCTCATTTTTCTCAGTATTTATCTCCCCCCCCCAATTCATAAACTAGTATATTGCCCCTATTCCATCAACCTCGTATATAGGCCTTTATTTCCCCTTATTTCTTTTTATGTTAGACTCAATGGTAAACTCTAATCATTGATTCCTTGCTTTCAATGTAATGATATTTTGTAAATCATATTTTTGTTCACATTTTGCAAAAAAGCACTGACACTGGGCATTCTTCCTTTATTCAAGAATGGTTCTAAAATTACTCCATTAACCATGTTTACTGTGATTTTGAGTGGACTCTTTGTACAGTTAATAAATATATTTTAAAACACTGATTTTTTATTTTTTAGATTTTATTTATTTGACACAGAGATCACAAGGAAGCAGAATGGCAGGCAGAGAGAGGGAGAAGCAGACTCCCCGCTGAGAGGGAGCCCAGTGTGGGACTCGATGCCAGGATCCTGGGATAATAACCTGAGCCCAAGTCAGACACTTGACTGAGCCACCCAGGAGCCCCTAAAACGCCGATTTAAAACATATTTCATCAAGACTTGTTCATGGGCATCATTAAATGTTTTATATGCATCTACTGAATTGATATCTATCTTGCTACATTAGTGTTTCATGTTTTACTGCACAAATCCTTTTTTATGTAGGCAAAGAAGTGTTTTTAAAAATTGTATCTGGAGGGGCACCTGGGTGGCGCAGTTGGCCATCTGATTCTTGGTCTCAACTCAGGTCCTGATCTTAGGGTCATGGGATTGAGCTCTGAGTTGGGACTCCGCACTCAGCAGTCTGCTTGGGACTCTCCCTCTGCTCCTCCACCCCATGTGTGCTCTCTCTCAAATAAATAAATTTTTAAAAAATAATTTTATCTGGATTTCCTGTAATGATAATCCAAAGCAAGTTTCCCACATGTCTTACAGCTTCAGAAGATATTATCTGTGCACCTTTTTCTCTTGCTCTCATTCACTTTTTTACCTGGGAAAGATGTAAATCCCTGATCACTCTTTCCCTGGGCCATTTGTTAGATGGGTCTTTAAAAGTCCTTTCAAACTCTCAATTATATACAGATTTTATTGTTTGCTTCTTAAATATAATCCATCTAAAAGCACTGAACTCTTTAATCCTCATAGGATATATATATATATATATTTTTTTTTTTTAAAGATTTTATTTATTTGACAGAGAGCGAGCGAGAGCAGGAACACAAGCAGGGGGAGTGGGAGAGGGAGAAGCAGGCTTCCCGCTGAGCAGGGAGCCCGATGCGGGGCTCGATCCCAGGATCCTGGGATCATGACCTGAGCCGAAGGCAGATGCTTAACGACTGAGCCACCCAGGCACCCTCATAGGATATATTTTAACATGTGGGGTGGGGTAGTGGATCCAATCCCTTCTTTTACCCAGAAAAGATGGCCAATTGATTCAGTACCAATTATGATTTTTGACCTACAGATATGAAATTCTAACTTTATTAATAAATTCCTGTATCAGTCTCTAGATGCTTCTGCACTAGTATTGCATTTATGCTCATCCCAGTTTTGATTAGTGTTATGAAAGTCTTAATATTTAGTGGTAAATATGTGAAGGTTGGTCATGTTTGTTGCGTCTACCACTGTAGGTGCTCAGCTTGAGGTACTTCCATTGGTGATATCATTTTTACCTAATTCTTGTGATCATTGCCTCTTTATATCTGCACATTTGAGTAACCATTCTTCCAGTCTTTACAGTGTCACATCAGTACAGAAAAGCCCTTCATCTGTCAGCTCAACTTAGGCTACTTCATGGCTTGCTGGCCATGTCTGCAGGCAACTGGGCTTTCATATGTGTCTGTAATTGAAGGAATAAACATCTCTTTCAGACCGTATAGACCGTTTTCATGGATAAAAACGGTCTCATGTCAGGTCCCTGGACTGATGGGTTTTGCCTCTAGAATCAGTCAAGTGGGATTGAGGCTAGACCTGGCTCCTGCCAGGTCTGCATTGGAGTCTATGGTACACAATCCTGTTACCAGGGCAATTGACCTTGTCTTGACCCTGGTCAGAAAGGATATCACTCCAGGACCCTGGTCAGTAGGGCTGAGACTAGGATAAGGGGTCAATTCAGGGTCCAAAGACAGCAGTAGTATTTCTGGTTTTGTGGATAGGCAGGGGTCCTAACATGTCACTTGGCAGGCATAAATGGCCCCAGACCACACCTGAGAGGGACTGGAGCCAAGTCACAAGGCTAACTTAGGGTCCACATCCATGACCCAAGTTCTGTAGGCCTGCCTCAGGGCACTGATGGGCGAGTCTTCCCCTGGGTGGGCAGGATTCCTCCTACTTCATGGCTCAGTGTCTGCACCTGGGTTGAGGGCTGCTTCAAGATCGGCAGGGAGACCAAAGTGAGCAGGCCCACCTCCAGGAACCAGATGGACACACGTCCTTCTGGATTCCTTTGTGGTCTAGACTGTTGAGGGCTAATATTAAAATATTTCTCTAAAAACTTCTAGCAATTGTCAATTACATTATGGGATTAAAGATACCACAGTCTCTTTCCATTATTTTGTCACTTTTTTGTGTTTAAATACATGTAACAAAATTCACCATTTTAAACACTTAGGTGTACAATTCTATTGAGTTGGCATCAAGTGCATTGGTTTTTGTGCAACCATTACCACTATCCATTTCCAGATGTTTTCATATTCCCAAACGGATACTCTACCCATGAAACATTCATTTTTTGTTCTAATTTCCCTCCACCACCTGCCAGTCATGCACTGAGAAAAGCAGTTTCCACCTGGGTTTTGCTGATAGTAATGGAAAATAAAGGTGCAATTAAAGATAATAAAAGAGGGAATGAAAGAAAGAGGACAGAAGGCAAAGAATGAGGCAATATGTCACTTACGCTATGCAATATGCCACATAAAAACACCTAAGCAAACTACCACTCAAATCTAGATTTCTACACTGGAAGGTCAAAATCATGTCAGTGTGTCCCAGGTAGAATCCACTGCAATCACAAACTTTTTCTGAAAAATGGGGTAAATGAGAAAATATCTCCAAGAAATGTCGTAATTCCATAAAATTATACATGTAAAACAACACGAACAGTTTTGATATGGCAAGCGCTTCAATTACAACTGAAGTACCCTTTTCATTCCACTTATGTAAAAAACACACCCAAGTAAATGAATGTGAACATCAACACTTCAGAGGATGATTTTTGAGAAAACCATGCCACATTTGATGTGAGTGCTTCATATCTAATGTTGGGCATCTGAGGAATGGCTATAGGAAATCTGACCGAGACAGAAATTTGGTGCTGTAATTAGGGAAGAAAGGTAACAAAGTAGTTACTGAAGATGTTGCTGAGAAACAAATACAAAGATAAATAGAAGTCATAGGTGCTTTGGGAATAGAGGAAAATAAACAGATCTATCACAAGAGAAAAATAACCAGAAAACTTAAATTCACAATATTTGCATTTGGGGTCCACGAGGTCCTCTTGGTTCTGAGGCCAGTGGCCCATCATGGACCATCTCTCCTAGGCAGAGAAGTCTTCCCAGGACCCCCATCACATCCTTGTTGCCCAGGCTGTCGATGAAGAGTTCAGTATGGGTGTAACCACAGTGCACATCACTGAGGTAATCGAGCTTCCGCAGTTAGAATGGTTCCAGCAGAACTGAGCTAGACTGCCAGGCTTCTCCCATAGGAAAAGGAGATCACAGAGCAGTGAAACCCACAGGTGGAAAATGCTTCATATTTCCCCATGTAGAAGACATTCTTATTGAGGAGGAGACAATCCAAGAGTATGAAAAGAGAATCCCAGTGAGACAAAAGTCAGCTGGCATGGTTACTGACACACACAGATGTTACTGATGAGGGTACCAGATTGCTGGAATTAGGACTTGTGGGTTTTGAGATAATCAATGTCAGTGTATTATATACTGCCATACACACAGTGCAGTTAAGACTACACCCATACTCAAGAGAATCACCTCATCTCCCAATCTCTTTCAAACACAAACATACGGGAATGTACCCAGGTCACTTTTTTAAGTAGGCTCCACGCCCAGCCTGGAGGCCAATGCAGGGTTTGAACTCACAACCCTGAGATCGAGACCTGAGCTGAAATCAACAGTCGGGACATTTAACCGACTGAGCCACCCAGTGCCCCATCCAGGTCACGTCTGATCAGGAGTTATCACTAAACTTGATTTGGTGTGTACTCCACTGATTTGATTAAGCCAGAAGGGAAGTGACAGTAAGCTGCTGTAGCCTCCAAGGCCACTCATGACCTAACTAAAGGCTGCTCAAGTGTTACAAGTATCTGAATGTGTTAACTCAAAATTGAAACAAGGTTCTGATGGATTCTGTCTCTATCCAAAGGCCACTTTCAAGAACTGCCAGTGGGACATCAAGTATAACAGAGTATCAGGACCTGTCCTATTCTCAAGGTTTCCCATCTCATACATCTGAAGTGATGTAAACGAACCAGCACGTCACATGCCAGGTGCAGCTCTTTCTGAACACAGGCAAAGGACATAATTGTTCTTCCAGGCTGTGGTGATTTGGGAACAAAGAGAATATTCTCTGTTCCTAGCCTCTCCATGTACTGCCTGAGGTTAAAGGTATTTTCTAACCTAGTACTAGGTGTGTTGTTCTCTTTCCAAGGCTATGAGATCAGGGTGTATAACCTCACCGTTTATAAAGTCTTTTCTGACCCAGGAAGATCAGGTGTGAGAGAGAAACAAGAGCATTTTCAGGAAATGTAGAGACCTATATCCTCCCCCTTCACCAGCATGAGGCATTGTAGATGGACTCCGTGAGCAGTGAACGGACTCACATGTTCACTATCTTCACAGTATTAGACAAGGTCATATACCTACAGGATCCAGGTAGTTTGTATAACATTAGGTCTAACGGTAGTAGTCCCACATGGGGCCAGGCTGCAAACCAGGTATAGAAACTAGACTGGACTAGCATTGCTATTGGGCAGAAAGCCAGAGCATTCCCAAAAATGTTCAGGGCAGAGTGGCACATGTTCAAACCAGATCTATGAAGCCAGCCTGTAAGTTGAGTCCCAAATGGCTCTTAAACAACTTCACTGTGTTCCTCCAGCACCGTTTGTAGAAGACTCTGCTTTCCCACATTGTTTAACTTCACAGGCATCTAACTAGTGAGTTCTTTCATGTATTGGGACACCTGTAGACCTTTCCACATTCCTCATATGGTTTCCCTCCAACGTGGCTTCGTTTTTGAAATGCACTGGAATAACAGTCCTTGTCAAACTTATTACGTACATAAGTCTTCAACGTATTGTGTATTTTTAGGCGTTAAGTCATGACTACGATGTGAAGCCTTTCTCACGTTCCTTACATTCAAGGGGTTGCTCTCTGGTATCAATTTTTACATGTTGAGATTGGCCTAAGGAAACAGTGAAGGCTTTCCCTCGGTGTTTACATTCATAGGGCTTATCTCCAGTGTGACTTCAAATGTGCAAGTAGTGAAGGCTTTCCCACAATCCGTATACTCAAAGGACCGCTCTCTACTTTGAATTGTATGTTTATAAAGGTTGGAAGATCAAGTGAAGCCTTTCCCATACTCCTTACTTTAATAGGGTTTCTCTCCAGTGTGAATGCTTAAATGTCAAATCAGGATGAGAGCACTAGTGAAAGCCTTCCCACAGTACTTAACATTCATAGGGCTACTCTCGAGAGTGATTTCTCAAATGGCTATTAAAATATAAGAAAGTCCTAAAGGCTTCCCCACATTCACCACATTGAAAGGGTTTCTCTCCACTATGAGGTCTCAAACGTTCATTTAGATATGAGGAATTACTGAAGGCTTTCTCACATTCACCACATTCAAAGGGCTTCCCTCCACTGTGAGTTCGTAGATGTTTTTTAAGGACTGAGGGCCAAACGAAAGCTTTCCCACACTCCTTACATTGATAGGGTTTCTCTCCGGTGTGAATTCTCAAATGTACACTAAGTCGTGAGGAATTAGTGAAGGCTTTCCCACACTCCTTACACTTATAGGGCTTCTCTCCCGTGTGAATTCTCAAATGTTCATTAAGAATTGAGGAACTACTGAGGGCCTTCCCACATTCCTTACATTTATAGGGCTTCTCACCACTGTGAGTTTGAACATGTTTACGAAGGACTGACAGCCAAGCAAAGTGTTTCCCACATTCCTTACATTTATAGGGCTTCTCTCCAGTGTGAATTCTCAAATGTTCATTAAGAACTGAAGAACGACTGACGGCTTTTCCACATTCCTTACATTTATAGGGCTTCTCGCCACTGTGAGTACGCACATGTTTACGAAGGAGTGAGGGCCACTGGAAGTGTTTCCCACATTCTTTACATCGGTAGGGTTTCTCCCCAGTGTGAATCCTCAAATGCACATAAAGGCGTGAAGATGTAGTGAAGGCTTTCCTACATTCACTACATTCAAAGGGTTTTCTTCCAGTGTGAAGTCGAATGATATGATTATTGAGGCACTTGGAATCTGCATAAGACTTCCCACATTGTTTACATTCATGGGGTTCTTGAGCAGCGTGTGTCTGCACATGCTCATTTTGACCTGCTGAGAAAACTGAAGCTTTTATAAATTGCTTCCATTCATTGAAATCTCTTCCATTGTGAGTTCTCCTATGTGCCTGAAAGTGTGAACGACTAATGAACGTTTTCCCACAGTCACTGCATTCAAAAGTCTTCTCTGCTACGCTGGTTCTCTCATACACTGCATGTGGAGTCCGGCTGAAGACTTTACCACACTGATTAAACTCAGAAAGTTTCTCTCTAGTAGAGTTTTTCTTTTGCAGATTAAGGAGGCCATTGTGATACTGATTACACTCAAAACTGTTCCCTCTATTTTGAGTTCTCATGTGGGTCTTAAGGTTTAAATATTTACTCAAGACTCTTCCACCTTGCTCACAGTCAGAGAGTTCTGCTCCATGGTAGGTCCTTTCCTGTTGATGGAAGGGATGAAAGTTGATGATAGGATTTTCAGACTGATTACAAATTTCAACCTTATAATGCAAGAAACATGATGATGATGACTCTTTGCATTTTCATTACATAAATACAGTTCCTGTTGATTTCTTTCAAGTTAAACCAGGGAACTCTTCTACCAAAAACTGATGCCATCTACTCTTAAGATCATTCCATTAAAATTTCGCAAAAATGTTTAAAGACTCAATGACAAGTTATGTATCTGGGAATGTGTACCTGTGGCATCTCGGGAGCAACAATTCTCAAGATAGATTTGGATTATAAATCCCAAATCATCATATTCAGAGTATCTCTGAATTACTCTGTCTTTGGTGGATGCCATTTGTCTCAAATATCTCAACTTGCATTGAATTTTATAACAGGACCATCCATCTTTTTTGAATGTGGAATATAAGAAATGTCACATATCAATCTTACTTTTTGTATTTCAATGGCTGTTTTTCCTCCAAAAAAATCCTGGTGAGATGCTGACCCTTTTGTTTGAGGTTGTGTTTCCCATTCTGAAATAAAACAAAAACACAAATTTAAATATTTGCAGGAAGAAATCATAGGCTAAACAATTTTAAATTAAGCTTGGGTGGCTCAGTTGTTAAGCATCTGCCTTCGGCTCAGGTCATGATCCCAGGGTCCTGCGATCGAGCCCCACATCAGGCTCCCTGCTTGGCGGGAAGCCTGCTTCTCCCTCTCCTGCTCCGCCTGCTTCTGTTCCCTCTCTTGGTGTCTCTCTCTCAAATAAATAAAATTATTAAAAAAAAAAAAAAAGACTCAAGTTTTCTTTATGTTCATATTAAAAATGGTGAAATAACAAGAAAGAAAAAAGGTTCACTGGTTTCTTTATGGGAAAAATATGACAATAGGTGTGTAGGGACAGACTTCAGTGGCTAGTACTAAAAAATAATTTTCTGAAAAACATGTCAAACAATAACAAGATATTATCAAGGTAACATATGATCAAGTAGATACATGAAAAATACCTGGACAAGGACGATACACCAAAATTATAAACTTTTTTTTTTTAAGATTGCATTTATTTGACAGAGACACAGCGAGAGAGGGAACACAAGCAGGGAGAGTGGGAGAGGGAGAAGCAGGCTTCCCGCAGAGCAGGGAGCCTGATGCAGGGCTCGATCCCAGGTCCCTGGGATCATGACCTGAGCCAAAGGCAGACGCTTAACGACTGAGCCACCCAGGTGCCCCCAAAATTATAAACTTAAAGAAGAATTAGAACAGGTCATTTGTGCGATCATAGAAATTTTAAGTAAAAGAGTGAAGGAAGGTGAAGATATCCAAAAACATCAGAGATAAATGGCTTCAGCCCTCTAAGACAAATGTATCTTAAAAATTTTACACATTAAAGTTGCAAAGATGCCATCCTATAGGTTGACCAGTTAAGTTTGTTAATAACAACACTCACCTTGGAAAACTCCCTTCTCCACTGTCCTCAGCTCTTGTTGTTCCAACCAAGCGATCAACTTAGGTTTCGACAGTTGATATTCTGTCCACAGGAAAAGGCACATTAACAGGAGAGGCTTATGCAAGAGATGACAAAGCTTCCGATGAATCCAAAACTTTATTTCTAATGAAAGCAGAGAAATTATCCTGAAAGGACCAAAAGAGGCAAATACTCCCCTTCTGACAAAAGAGTAGTTATCTCTTAACCCCTGAAAGCCAAATTTGAATGTATGCACATATTTACAGAGTATAAAGGTATTTATTCAAATCGGAAATAAAGGAGATGAAGAAAGGAGATCTTTGTTCTGACGGGGAAACCACTAGAAGAGTGGCCCTCAAATGTTGGGAGTGTCTCACAATCATCAGGATGGCTTACTGAAACACAGAAGATGGGGCAACAACCCCAGCTTAATAATTCAGAATGTCAAATGTGGCATCTAAGAATGTAAATTCCAAACAGAGTGATGGTGTTGCTGTTGGCCTCATGGCCACGTTTACAGAACACCCATTGCAGATTATAACCCATTAGTGTAGGGACTATGCATCTCTTTCTTCCAGTTATGTTCAGAGGGCACCACCAAGGCTGGAAACACATAAAGTATATGACACGTATCTGGAATGTTGGCAGCCTCACCTACTGCGACCAGGTTCTGATAGTTCTCCAGCATCACGTTTCTGTATAGGTTTCTCTGAGTGAGGTCCAGTAATAGCCACTCCTCCTGGGTGAAGTCCACTGCCACATCCTGGAAGGTCACTGCAATCTAAACCATCACACCCATGTTGGCCTGAGACAAGAAACATCTCCACCAATGTTCACGGGAGAATAAGGACAGGAGACTCAATACCTATGCAGGGTTATGAGATTTCTCATTATCCTCCCACGGTTCCATGATCCTAGGTCCTCTTCTCCCCATCTAAACTCACTCACTGCTCATCTCCACTCATATGGCTTTAATGGCACCTTTTAAGCTTTTGAGCTTATCTCAGCAAAACCGTAGTAGTTCTTATTTCCCTCTATTGCAGTAGACTTCTGAGCACACTAAAGATCCTTGATAAACAGCGCAGAATGACTAAATTCTGTGAGAAAAAGATACTTAACACCTTCCTTACCATGTCAGAGCACATAGCAAAGTGGAAATATGCACCTGGTATCCATGAGGTTCATAGGTGATTAGTGAAATACTAAGATTATTTTCAGAGTAATCCTTTTCAATATGAGAATTTCCACTTCCAGGGAAAATGCAACTGGGGATTCAGTCCTTGTGTGGGGTTTATTTACTTTAGGAAGCTCAGGACACAGATGTACCTAGAAGGAATGTATCCACCTGGTGGATATAAGTACGGCATTCTGTTGATTGATACGCTTTTTTATTACCTGTTGATAATTTTTCAGCCAGACAGCCACCATCCTTTCTGCCTCTGTGTTTTCCTCAGGAAGACAAAAAGGATCTCTAGAAAGATCTTGGAGAAAAAAAAAAAGAATACTTAGAATGCAGCATGACCGGAATCACCCACCTGAAAAATCATTCCATCCTAGTTTGAGATACCCATATATCCCTGCACACTCAAGAAATCTCACATAAATACACACTCTACTGGATAAAATATCAGAGTAGCCCTGCCTCACCTGGAGCCATAAAAGGGACGTGTTAGACATACTGCCCATGAGGAAAGGGGTCATCATCTTATTTTACAGGTATGGAAACCTAATCCCTGGGAAATCCGATTCTTTATTTGCCCAAGATAATAAAACTCATCAATGGGATTATGCAGCACCAAGTCCCAAAGCACACACACCAGGAAGGTGACCTAGATAACAGCATTCTCTGGCATATTTCAGCTCTAAGTAAACCAGCAGCCTGACTGCTTAGGCCCTATATTGTGTAGGGGTGACCTTTAAGAATCCTCTGAAAATAAGAATCAACAATGAATTACCGTGGGTCAGATCAATGGCTGCCATCCTGGGAGAGTGATGAAATTTGCCTGATGAGAAATTTGATGCCAAGATCAGTTCAGTGCAACTTAAGAATCTAAGTAAATATGGCAATCTTCATTACTTTTGACAGTGTTACCCAGAGTACTTTTCATATCAATCATTAATCAGCAAGCGTTACTAATCCATTATCAAACATCATACATTAGCTCTCTCTCTGTAGATGATATATGGGAAATTCACTAAAAATGTTATAACCTTTGGCATGAAAGTCAGTCATAACTATTACCACTTCCTGACGATAGATACATAACAGATGTCCGTCTCACTAGGAGCTGTATGTATATCAGCTCACCTAATTATCATAACAACCCTTTACAATGGGTATCATTAGCCCTATTTAATAGCTGATAAAGCTAGATTTTTACTAATCATTGGTCCAGTACCATCCAATTAAGGAAAAAAGAGATCCACAATTGAATGCAGATAGGCTTCTCTCAAATGTTTGAGATCCTGAGGTTCTTATTCCCAAATATGATCAGACGTCATTCTAGACCTGCATTGTCCATTTTGGTAGCCAGAAGCCACATATGCTATTGAGTACTTGATATGCAGTTAGTAAAACAGGATTTTAGATTTTATTTATTTTTAATTAAATTTTAAATTTAAAACTTTTTGCAATAAAAAATCTTAAAAAAAAAAAACTTTTTGCAAATTTACTTATTAGAAAACCTAAATGTTTGCGTAAGCTTAAATATATCTATTTTCTCAACTCTATTTATTACATGATTCAAACGCATAAAATACATCTGATGAAAATTTTGTGTCCAATGAATTCTGAATTCATGAGAAGAATTTAAAATACCTCAATTTTTATATGGGTTACATACTGAAATACTTATATGATTTCCTTGTTTTTTGTTTATTACAGTTACAGAAAAGCTTTAATCATATACTTGGCCTACACATTATATTTCCATTGGCCAGCACTGGCCTACAATACTGCTGGATATTATGAAGAGGAGAAAAATGAAGTGTTTGATTTGGTTAACACCCCTGAGCTTCACTTCATGGAGCTTCGAGTGGCTTGGAGCCCTGTGCCTCCTTTTAATTTATCATAACAGGCTTATTCTTTTGTCCTTTCCACAAATAATTAAGAAATTGTGGTCCTGTGCTAGGCACTATGCAGAAAACAGTGATATATACAGAAAACGTCCCAGGGCTTAATGGCCCAACATTCCAAAGGGACAAGATATTCAATTATTAATGAACACCTCTGTTTATCAGTGCTTATGGAGCAAAAAATCAAGTAGGTGAGAAAATAGAGTATCCTATATACAAACACAAATATTGTGGGTTGCTTCTTGGGTAATGTAATGACAGAAAAAGGAAAATAACCATAGGCTGTTCTAAATAATTTTTTTTCTAAATAATTTTAAGAAAAATAATGCTGGAAGGATTTTACAAAACTCAGAAGACTCTTTAAGTATTCAACAGCCTCAGGAGGGTCTTGATTGAGGCTCAAAGCAATCAAGGTTTGCCCACTGCCCCTTGCCCTGGCAAAGGAGCAATGCCAAATCACTGTCCTTTACAATGATCTATTTTAGGAGTCTTTCCACAGAACTTCCTTTTCATATTACCACTTCTGTTTTTCCACCAAGTTTTTATTTTATTTTTATTCCTTTCTTAATAAGGCTTCCTTCTTATTTTAATCTTTTAACCTGATACAGTCTAAAGGACAACTCCTATGTTGAAAATTATTGACTCGGGCGCCTGGGTGGCTCAGTTGGTTAAGCGACTGCCTTCGGCTCAGGTCATGATCCCAGGGTCCTGGGATCGAGTCCCACATCAGGCTCCCTCTCAGCGGGGAGCCTGCTTCTCTCTCTGCCTCTGCCTGCCACTCTCCCTGCTTGTGCTCTCTCTGTTAAATAAAGAAAATCTTAAAAAAAAAAAAAAAGAATTATTGACTCTCTTTAATAAACTGAACAGAGAACAGCAGCCCAAATGCTGATCTACAGAATGGTATCCAAATGATGACAAATGCTGGAAGTTCCAGTTTCGTTACCATAAGCCAAATTAACCCTCACAACACAAGATACTTCATTCTACAGATGAAAAGTGCTATACAATGAAATGCGCAGATCTTAAGTATTCTGAGGATGAGCTTTGACAAATTTACCCATATAAGGAGCAGTTCAAGGAAGACAGAGAATATATTCATCTCTCCAAAAAGCCTTCACCCTTCTGGTTCATTCCCTCACCCTCATTCCAGATGATCATTATCTGATTTCTGTCAATTACTAGATTTGTTGTTAAGCAGTACGCACATCATTTATAAATCTATATCCTGACAATTTTCTCCTGTTTAGAGAAACAATAAGGGAGAAACAGTCTTAAAACTCCCGAGGAAGTGCAGAAATGTCCATTTCTTCTTGTATTTCTGTCAAGCATTGGTTTATATTTCGTGCAACAATATTGTGGGGGTACATACAAACTTTGAAACTGTACCAATCTTGGAGATATTGAATCTTCTATTGTAAACTGCTCTATCTCCAGTAATGCTTTATATGACAATGTTGTCTGACATAAGGAGGATTTTACAAAACTCAGAAGACTTTCTTTTGGAGAGCTCTTTGGAATGTAAGTGTGTGGGGATCTCAGTCTTCTGAGCACTCACCCACCAGCCAGGAATGTCTGCAAACTGAATACCTATTTCCGATGGATACCTGATGTGTCTGCCCACCAGACATGGCTTGGCTGCAATCGAGAGATTTTCAAATGTTTGTCCAATGCCTGCTGACTACCTCTGCTGCAGGACACCCAGCCAACTTCTTTACAATCAATAGACTGCAATGATACCTTGCAAATAAGATATGACCCAATCTTGGGGAGAAGACATCCCTATAAATCTGACCTTATTACTGTTCAACTCTAGGGTCTAACAGAGTGCTCTTTACATCTTTATGTTACTCTTCCCATGTATATCAAGAAATCAAGGAGTGGTTTTTGTCTTCTGATTAGACCCAGACTTATACAGAATTGAAACAGACAGTGATTGCAGGAGATACACATGTAGAGGTGAGATCTGGGGGTTGATTTCATCAAGTCTTTGGTCTGGAGCAAGACGCTGAGCTCCTTGAAAGACACTCAGCTGCATTATGAAAATCAAGCTCTGACCTATGGCTCACTCTGAAGATGTACACAGAAGCACTTGCCTTGGGAATCCAAGTGAATGCTGTTACCTCAGTAATGATGACTACAAAGATTGTGGTGAGAGATAGATTCTTTTTTTTTTTTTTTTTTTTTTTTTAAGATTTTATGTATTTGACAGAGAGAGACACAGCGAGAGAAGGAACACAAGCAGGGGGAGTGGGAGAGAGAGAAGCAGGCTTCCCGCCGAGCAGGGAGCCCGATGTGGGGCTTGATCCCAGGACCCTGGGATCATGACCTGAGCCAAAAGCAGATGCTTAATGACTGAACCACCCAGGCGCCCCGAGACATTGATTCTTATGACTAGAGTTGCACAGAAAATGGCCTGCTCAGATTTACTAAGACAAGCTCAAACCAAGGTCTGATAACCACAAAGCCTCAAGACAGCTCTTAAAAAGGACATTTCTTGTGGCCACAGGACTGACACAGTTGAAAATCAAACACGAAATTTAATTGCACAGGTAAAATTACAACCACGATTAGAGTGTCTACATCAACTAGTTGTTCATGTGAAAATTAGGGCACTGATACAGGAAGAATGAGAACTTGAAAACGAATGGGGATATTGAGTCAGACAAAGATGAAACTTACAATCGTGAATCCACAAGATACTAACTCTCCCTTATCAGAAGTCTCCTGCCCTTTGGTTTCTGAAATGAGCCTTCCTCTGCTTAAAAATACTGAGGAAATCTCACCTGGGGCAGAAGTCTTAGAAGGAAATGCTCCTCTCTTCAAGATCCACCCAAACCACTGCCCCTAGTGACAATGAATTCACAGTCATGGGGAACAGGGATACAACACAGTGCAAGATAAAATAGCCTGTACAACAAAATAGTTCCAACTAGGATAATATATAGAAGAAACCTGAGTACCCTGTGGGGGAATAAACTGTAAGCATGCCAGACCCATAAGGTTGGAATATAACAATAAACTGGGCCAAATTCATTGACATGGGGGTACTTATTAGACAGTCTGGGTTTAATATATATTATCTCATGGACCCAGGGAAAGCTCTAATAGCTTACTTGCTTGGCTGATACCAGAGACTCAATGGTGACCTACAGTAATGAGTTCACATGCCAGAACTTCCACAACAAAATGTGAAGGAGCAAATCCTAGGGAGATAGCAATGTAGCACTGGATTTATCCTGTGTGATATACAGCCCCATTCCCCATTCTATGTTGAGGGAACAGAAGATTCTCCACAAAGGTATGGAGAAACGGTAAGTGGACGGCCTCCATCCTAGAGGCCTCTGTGGTTATTCTCCATGACAGGTGAGGTATGACTGTAGGGGCTATACCATCACTGAGATAAACTCCCTGATTTCACTGGGGATGATGAGAAGCCAAAGTAACAGAAATCAAGGAGGCGGCACTTAGTTGCCGAAGACAAAGAGGGCACATGAACCACGAAGAGCAGTGGGAATGAAACAGGAATCAGAGTGCTTTGGCCTGCAGAGACCTCTCGTGGTGGCTAACTGATCCCAGCCTAATTGGTCCCTTGCAATGAAGAGATATGCAGCCTATTACAGCAGAGGTCAACAAACCTGCACTAACAGTCCATACAGTACTTTTTAGGCAGAGCAGGCCAAATAGTCTCTGTGCTATACATACTCAAGTCTGTCACTGTGGTTTCACAGAAGCCATAGAAAATATGTAAACCAATGAATATGGTTAGGTTTGTCTAAAACTATTTACAAAAACAGGTGGAGAGCCAGATTTGGCCCAGGGTCCAGTTTGCCAACCTATGTACTAGAATTTTATTTGATGTCTGTAACAAGTAGTTTCAAGTACAGTAACCAAAACTCTGATTTGACTGACCACAGTGGAAAGTCACAGCCCCCTACCCAACTTCCAAACACAGACCATATCACAAACTAAGAGCTCCTTCATATCATCACCACTGTTCATACTATAAACCTTCCTACAGACTCTTCATAAGGGGATGTACAGTCATTTACAAGTGACTATGCATGGGGGAAAAGGAAATACTCAGACAGTCTCTAAGAGGACACTAATTCCTGAGGATCCAAAATATCATTGTGGCACACCACCAAAGTGGAGGCTTATGGTAGTCAGGTGATTTTTTAAGAAGTCTTAACTTCAATGAACTCAGACTGGACCAGCTGCAGCAAGCACCCACCCTATATTTATTTCCTTCCCCAAAACCTAAATATATAATTGGATTTTTTGGCAACTGGCAGAATTTCCTTATCTCTGACCCACCGGGTAAGGACCATTATGGTAGGAAAAGCTAAAAGGAGGATCCTGGAATTCCCCACCACTGGACAAAATAATCCAGAAACAATACCAACACTGCAGGGGGAAATGCAAGGTTTAATGCTTCAAAAGATTAGCTGCATCTATACCCTTCCCGTTTTCATTACTATACAAGTCATTACAGGATAACATTACAATTTAGTCTTTAGGTAACTGATTTTCGTGAGATTGTAACTAAATTTGAGCAGTAGTTACTATAGACTGTGAGGGGGATAAAATGACTTGATATACATTTATAACTCCTTTATGCAGCATAATATGGAGTACATATCACCCACAAGATAGTATGTGAAAGATCTTTTGTAGTCTCTGGACCTGAAGCTGGCAAACTATAAATCACAGGGCTGTTTTTGTAAATCAAATTTTATTGGAGCAAAGCCATATCCATTTATCTACTAAGGTCTATGGTTGCTTGTGCACTACAAAGGCAGAGCTGAGTAATTCCAGGCCTTATGGCCAACAAATCATAATGCAGTCACGGAAAGAGGACTCCAACTACCTCCATTTTGACCTCAAACTTTGTAATTGATTAAGGTCTTCTTTCCAGCTCATCTCTTAACTCAGACAAAAATCCAAAAGGGTAAAGCATCTCTGATGGGAACTGAAACTTCCTGCTCAAGCTTTAAGGACTACCCTGGGCCAGCAAGACCCCATGTGATTGATTCCAAGGCAATAACTGACCTGATCTTTGCTCACCTGCAAGTACGCACTGACTTCTGTCCCACATGTTCCTTATAAAAAACGAAGTATTTTCAGAACTTCGGCAACCATCTTTGAGATACTAGTTCGCTCTCTTTCTGGTATTGGCCTCACTGACATGTATTTCTATCTTGTTTCACCACCACTCGTTTCTCTGCCTTTGCTTTTGTCAGTGACCAGTGGCCGAACCTGGTCTGTTTTAGAACCCCAGAGACGGGTGCTCTTGCATCCCTGAGCCCCAGCTACACTACTACCTTGACCTTTTCTAACAAAAGTCTACCAACCTCTGTACCGGACCCAATTACCATATTTCAAAATTACAAGACAAAGAAAACATTTAAACACATCATGGAAATAAAATCACAAATATCAAAAGTATGTGTTTCTCAAAGAGCATGTGACTCTCCCAAGTCTGTATTATGAAGAAACAACAGCTCTGCTTTAGCTTAAAAGAAACTAAGAGACATAAACATATACATTGCCATATATAAACCCTAACCAAGTCCTACATCCAAAAACATTCAAAAACATATTTTGAAACAATGTATAGGATTTTCGTTTTTACAGAGCAGGTATTAGATAACATTTTTAATTTTCTTGGGTGAAATCAATGTATTATCGTTTTAGTAGCAAAATGGTCCTTATCTTTAGGAAATACATTACCAAGTATTTAAAGGTCAAGTATCACGCCTGCAATTTATTTCCTTTTTACTCTCAAACAGTACACTAAAAAATACATTTCTCTATCCAGAAAGAGCAACCATGCAAAATGCGAAAACGGGTGAATTTACTTCGACGCACATTCATAGCAGTAGTATTTACATTTCCTTTAGGTTTAAGATCTTACGAAACAAAATACCCTTAATCCAAACGTCCTGTAATTGTGAAATTCAATTATTCTACAAGTGGGGTAATAAAGCCTCCATTCTTCTCTCCAAGAGTCCCCTGGTTTGAAACCTGGTGGGGATGGACGGGTTCAGGAGGGAAGGATGATAAGGTAGGTGAAAACTTTCCCTTCAGTACAGAGACGTGTGTATAACCAGCTCCTGAAATATGCACACTGCAGACATCCGACAAAGCCCATTAGCTTCCTACTAAGATACAGTGTGTCCAAAACAAAGACCAGCGTGACAAAGCCACACTCTCAGCCGAAACATTCTCTTCCACACGAAAAGGAAACACAGGCCCTTGTGAACCAACTTTCCCAAAACTCACCAGTCAGGTCCCCGAAAAAGCGAGGACGCGGGGCGGACTCTGGGTCACTCCCAACAGCAGCAATTCTCTTCCTTGCGGAGAAAAGTCACAAAGGTTGCTTGCACAGCGGATACAAAGACCCCGCGGAAGCGCCCTGACAGCAGGTCCGCAGCGGCTCCGGGCGGGAACCGCCGGCCCCCGCGACCTCTCGGGCGATCTAGGCGGATGCGAACCGAGCGACCCGGCCCCTCCGCAGGCCCATCGGCGACCCTGACTAAACCCGTCCCTGGATTCCCTCCTCTTTCCCTCCCCTTCACGCCGCCCTCACCACAGCCGGCCCACGGACGACCTCTACCATCCCGACGCGCTGAACGCGGCCCAGAAGAGGCAGCGGAAGAGAGCCCGGCGGGCGTGTGACGCCACTTCCGCTTCCTGCCGGGGCTCGAGGGGCGGGGCTTCCACTTCAGACCGCCCAGCTGCTGTTCCCTCCCTCACCGGCTTGGGGTGGGCGGCTGGGCTGGGCGCTTGGTGTGAGGCCGGGATGCGGCCCGGAGGACAGGCTGGGGCTGGAACCAGGTATGTGGGCGCGACTACCCGCGGAGAGCGCGACCCGTGCGCGGGGGCGGCCCGGGCTGGCGTGGGGCGAAGCCCAGCTCCAGTTTGGGCGGTGCGAGGACCCCCTGGACAAACCCCACAGCCTGCGCAGTGAAAGGTTTCCTGCCTCCCTCCCCGCACGTCCTAGACAGCCTTTACAGTCGTCCCATATCGATAAGCCCGAGAATCCAGTTTTTAGGATCCCGTTTTTAGGCCTTTATCTTGGGTGTTATTGGGTGGCCTTTTTGCAGTAAAGAAAGATCTTTTTAAACACGATTGGGTATCCCATCTAGTCAAGACTTAGGGGAGGGGAGTGAGAGGGCAATGGACGAAATATGTGAAGGGGATTAAGAGGTACAGTCTTCCAGTTATAAAATAATTAAGACAGGGGATGTAATGTACCCACATGTGGAATATAGTCAATGTAACATTTCACCATTCTTTGTGTGGTGACAGCTGTTTAACTAGTCTTACTGTGGTGACCATTTCATGACGTGTATATATGCCAAATCACTGTGTACCCCTGAAACTAATCCAATACTGTATGTCAGTTGTTCATCAATAAAAAGAAACGTGTTGGGCGGGCGCCTGGGTGGCTCAGTTGGTTAAGCGACTGCCTTCGCTCAGGTCATGATCCTGGAGTCCCGGGATCGAGTCCCGCATCGGGCTCCCTGCTCGGCGGGGAGCCTGCTTCTCCCTCTGACCCTCCTCCCTCTCATGCTCTCTGTCTCTCATTCTCTCTCTCTCAAAAAAATAAATAAAATCTTTAAAAAAAAAAAAAAAACGTCTTGTTCATGCGCATCATCAAATGTTTTATGCATCGATTGAATTGATAATCTGTTGCAATGTTAATGTTTCATCTTTAATTGTACAAACATTTAATTGTTTTTTTTAACATCAACAAAAATGTCAAATTTATTAGTTTACATCAACATTATGGAAGTTAAAGAAAATAATTAAGTTGTCTCATGGACTGGAAGGTGACTTATTAACTCCCTCTCATTTCCAAACCTCATCAAGCAGTCACTATGTTTATAAGGTAAGTCAGCTGAATGCTTGAAATCTAGAAGAACTTTTAAGATCTTCAGTTTGTCCTGTTGAATGTTAATAGTATTGACATAAATAAATCCCTTCAGATAAATGTGAATTTATATGTTTGCAATATTCTAGCATACTTGAAAAGCTGTTTTCACAGTCATCACAAGCATGAGGAAAAATTTTAGTATGTTCAATAGCAACATGCCTGTTAACATTCATATTAACTCTACTCTGAAAACCACATACTTGACATACAAAGAAGTTTTTACATTTGTCAAAGGGAATTTTGCGGGTGCCTGCGTGGTTCAGTCAGTTAAACGTCCAACTCTTGTTTTGGGCTCAGGTCATGATCTCAGGGTCATGAGATTGAGCCCGTGTCAGGCTCCGCACTCAGTGGGGAGTCTGCTTGAGATTCTCTCGCTCCTTCTCCCTCTGCCCCTCCCCCCCGTGTGCCCTCTCTCTAAATAAATAAATAAAATCTTTTTCCAAAAAAGGCAGTTTTGCTTAAGAGGCTGTACTATCCATGTTCTCCATTGTTATACTTAGCACTTAGTTAATTTACATGCATGTTCATTTACCATATGGCTTTGCAAGTCTTCTGGATCGTTGGTTTCATGTTTACAGAACAGGCACTTGTACTATTCATCACAGTTGTGCTCCTGGAAACGTAGATAGCGTTCACTGCTTGAAGATAACTGTTCATTGCACTGCTCACAGCAATAAAGGTCACTAAAATGGGCGTCCGCAATGTGTTGGCTGAGGTTCTCAAAAATCACTGTTTTGTAATCACGGTATTTACAAATGCAGGGATCCTCTTCATGCAGTTTGGTGTGTTCAATCAGAAGCATGTTAGTAGAGAAACTTTCTTTGCAAATTCGACACACATTTGAATCAGTACCTTTGTGCATCAGCATCATATGCTACTTTATAGCAGAAAAATATTTGCTGTTGAACTCACAAAGTTCACATTTACAGAAGTCATTGCTATTAGCTCTCAGTAAAGGCTGCTTCTGCTGGGCCAGCACATTCAAAGCTTGGCTCCTGTCAAGAATTTTGCAAACTTTAGCTGGTGGCTCCTCATCAGTTTGGTCTTGGAGACTCTCGGAGGAATTGTTTTCTGTCTCCAAATCATACTCTTCAGAAATTGCATGCACTTCTGCAACAATTGGAACATCTTCAGCAGTGTGAACTTCTCTAGGACTCTCCTCTTGAGTTTGTTCGTTGACCGATTCAGGTGAGTCACACTCTTCATCACAGATTTCAGTATCAGCAGATTTTTTTTTCACAAAAGACAGTGTGGTCTAGAATTCTCAGTACAGAACTGGGAACCAGGTAGTTATGATTTCTATTTCTGGCCTTGATTCCATCTGCAAATTTTGGCAAATCATTTGATGTCTCTGTATCAGAGTCATCCTCTTGTCAAAATATTTTAGTCTGGTTTTCTTATAGAACAAATACTATAACTGATCAGAAAAAATTCCATTGAATCCATCTGCAATTCTGCTTATTCCAGAGGAATCTGAGTAACAAGAAGAGTTTAATGTCTTACTTTTTCTTGTTTTAGGATATTTATTCGTATCTTTTCAATTTGGTATAATTCTTAATACTGTAGTGAGAAGAAATGAATTACAAGGAAGCTTTCACAGATGCTAAAAAATGCCAGGACCCCAGGACTGCAGTACTGTGGCCCTCATGCTCCTGGGCACTGCCCCAGCCTAGCCCCTCTCCCCCCTGCATGCCTCACGCCCTGCCTTCTAGGCCCCCTGTACAAAGGTTTAAATGTTATATAGGTGAAGAAGTCTAGTTTTTTTTTTTTTAAGATTTTATTTATTTATGAGAGAGAGAGCTTGGGGAGGGGCAGAGGGAGAGAATCTCAAGCAGACTTCCTGCCCAGCAAGGAGCCCAACGTAGGACATGATTCCATGACCCAATATCACGACTTGAGCCAAAACCAAGAGTTGGACCCTTAACTGACTGAGCCACCCAAGCGCCCCCAAAGAAGTCTGTTTTTTAAAAGACTATCTGCATTTCCTGCCTTAATTTTAAAAGTCTCTTTAAACTACAGATTTTATTCAGATTTTATCATTTTCTTCTTAAATATATTTAAAGACATTTAAATCTCTAATTTGCATGGAATGTATTTTGACATGTAGTGTGTGGTAGTGGATCCAGTCACATTTTGTCCTCCAGAAAATATGACTAGTTGTTTTAGTACCACTTACTGATAAATTAATTGGCATACTGAATTGGAATTCCACCCTTATTTTTAAAAAGTTCTTTTTTTTTTTTTAAAGATTTTATCTATTTATTTGACAGAGAGAGACACAGCGAGAAAGGGAACACAAGTAGGGGGAGTTTGAGAGGGAGAAGCAGGCCTCCTGCGGCGCAGGGAGCCCGATGCGGGGCTCGATCCCAGGACCCTGGGATCATGATCTGAGCCAAAGGCAGACGCTTAATGACTGAGCCACCCAGGCGCCCCAAAAACAGTTCTTAAAAATACCTGTATCATAAATAAATAAATAAATTTAAAAAAATACCTGTATCAGTTTCTAGAAGTCTTTTGTACTAGTAATGTATTTATATATAAACATCTCTCACTTGATTATGGTAGCTTTATATGTTTTAGTATTTCATGGTAAATATATAATGGCAGGTAATATTTGTTGCATGTAACAGCAGTAGGTATTCAGCTTGGCATCCTTCACAGGTCAGCTGGTAGAGTATGCAGACAAGTGGTGTTGGTGTTAGGGTCTGTGCATTTGAAGGAACAAACACTTCTTTTGGTCTTTAGAAGCTGCTTTCACTAGATAAAGACCTTCTCCTGCTGGGTTTCAGGCCTGGTGGTTTTGCCTCTGGGATCATAGTTGAGTTGGGTTGAAGCCATGTAATACAGCTGCTCCTGGATCTGTATACTACAATCTGTGGTTGAAAATCCTATCAGTAGGGAAGTGGACCTTGTCTGGTCCCTGGGTAGACAGGACTGCGTCCAGGACCTTGGTCAGTAGGGCTGGACCCGGGACAACAGTTCTCTTCAGGATCCACAGGTGGCAGGGCTATCTTCCCAGTTGTGTGAAAAAGTATGGCTCTCCCACTAGGCATGCATGAATAGCCCCACAACACAGCTGAGAGGGGCTGAAGCCATGTCATAGAACTGCCTTAGGGTCCCCATCCGTGACTGAGTTCTGTAGGCCTGCCTCAGTCGGCACTGATGGATGCGTCTTCCCCTCATGATTCCTACATCATGGCTCAGAGAGTTTGGAGCTGGGCTGTGGGCTGCTTCAGGTCTGCAGGTTTGCCTCAGAGTCACAGATGGACACATGTCCTTCTGGATTCTTATGTGGGGAGGACCACAGATCAGAGAGACTGGAGCTGGATCACAGGCTGGCTGCTCAAGATCTGCATCTTAGAGTGAGGTCGGCAGCCTGTTACCTGAGAGGCATGGGTGGAAGTGTCTCCTTCTGGGGACTGCGGGATGGTGCTGGTGCCAAGGCCAAATGGGGCTATAGCCAAGTCCACATGAGGACATGGCTATTTCCAGGTGTGTGGCTGGGACCGTGGTCAGCAAGCCGACCACCTGGGCATAGGTCTGCCTTCTCAAAATGTCCCTCCTTGTTCTTGGGCCCTACTGGGGCTTTGTAGTCTTATACTGAATTCCAAAACTCCCACAAATGGAGGGGGTCTCT